CTGTCTCTCCCTCTCTGATTCTCTGCCTTTTAAATAAATTAATAAATCTTAAAGAGTTAACCAAGAACTGAACACATGCAGAGGCCCCAGTGGTTAACTTCTCCCAGAAAGTTCGGCAGCTGAGCACGCCGCGCACTGCCTAGTGTCACAGAACATCTGGCGGGACAGGCGGGGAGGAAAGCAGTTAGAGTTTTATTCTTTTTAGCATCATGTTAAATCGGCCATGAAACCAGGGATGGTGCAATTGAATTATAAGACGGCTGAAGTATTAAATAAAAATCCAGAGACAGCCAAGGGGTTTGGCTCAAGGTGGGGGAGATGCTAATGGGGCGGGGGTGGTGGTGGTAGTAAAATGGATCTGAGAAACAAAGAGTGGAAAAGACACATCTTTTTCTTTTGCTAAGAATTTGCCCCATTTAATACTGGGAGAAGGGGCTATGGGCGTGGGGGTGGGGTTTGCTCCTCCTGGAGAGGCAGCTGCCCCCAGGAAGGTGGGACATCTCCTTTTGAAGGGGAACTGCTGATTCCTTACATGTCCCTGGGGCCCGGGGCAGGGTGGGGGACAGGCCGTGTCCAGATGGGAGGTCTCGTGGCAGGTGCCGGTCTTCCTGTCTGGCCTTTCCCATGTTCCCCTTCAAGCCGAGCTGCTGGACCGCCCAGTCTGTGTGATGAGGATGTGACATTTCAGCTCGTTTCGGAGCTGTGGCAAATGTGTCTGGCAGGAGGGAGAGACTCCATCTGCCAACCGAAGGGTGGCACAAGAGCCACGGTCTTGCTTTTAACCCCTGTTCTGCTGGGTTAGGGGAGGTGCAGCCCTCGTCATGCCTGTGGCAGTAGTGGCGTGCAGGTAGATGGCTAAACCAGCTCGGGGTGGGGGGAGCCGTGCTCCCAGGAGGCAGGCGTTCCCCCTGGGGTTGGGTTTCTGAGCTACCAAGGTAATGCCAGGGATCCCAGAGCTGGAAAGAGATCGCCTGTAGCTCTCTTGATACTGGATTCCTACCATGCTGTTACTGTGCCCAGCAACACCTTGAGAGCACAGAGAACAGCAAACGCACAGTAACCAAAATAAATAAAGAAATAATACATACATAAAGCCGGAGGCTAGGGAGGAGGAATGTCCTGCACATGCGCCTGACCACAAGAATGACCACAAGGACTCAGCCAGAAGCACAACCTCGCACAAAGGCTCCACGCCCTCATTCAAAACTACTTCTGAAAAAAGATGCCTGTCCATGCTGTAGCATAGCACGGAAAGCCACAGCCTGCAGGGCCGCTATCCCATATGGGCCGGCTGCTCCACTTCCTTTCCAGCTCTCTGCTATGGCTTGGGAAAGCAGTAGAAGATGGCCCAAGTCCATGGGCCCCTGCACCCATGTGGGAGACCTGGAAGAAGCTCCTGGCTCCTGGCTCCTGGCTTTGGATCGGCCCAGCTCCCGCCATCGCAGCCATTTGGGGAGTGAACCAGCAGATGAAAGACCTCTCTCTCTCTTTCTCTCTCTCTCTCTCTCTGTATCTCTGCCTTTCAAATAAAACAAATAAATATTTTTTTAAAAAAAATATGCCTGCCCAGCAACTGCTGGACTGGTACCACTCTCGTTATTGACCCTTGCAGCCAAAGACTATTGTTGCAAAATAACTTTACATAATCCCTCTCATGTTGCCTTTAAAAAGTTCTGCTTGCTATAGTGTAAATTTAAAATATGTTATTTCAGAAATGAAAAGGAAAAAGAAGGAATGAGGAAGGAAGGTGGGAATGAGAGAGGGGCAGGGAGGGAGTATCACTATGTTCTTAGAGTTCTCTCTACAAAGCACATTGTATCTATTAAAAACTAAAATCATAATGAACAAACAAAAGAATAAAAATATTTTAAAAAGGAGACAAGGTTCCGCCTGCCTCGACGTCCTTGAACATGAGCATGGTCCTCCACGGCCCCGTCCCTCCCTGAGCGATCGTCTCTGCAACTTCTCCTTGTGCTTGTCCTTTAGGTTTAGAGAGAATTGGGAAGGGCTGTGTTTCAAGTATTTAACACTTATGTGTTCATTTAACTGTAAGTTTATCATTGTAATTGAGTTTTTGACAATGGCTGTGTTTAACCGTTGGTTTGAGAACTTCCTGAAGATTTAGCGATGGGCTCTGGGTTCAGGCTGGCCGCCGTCTGGGACTTACAGACTGGTCTGCAGGGATTATCATGTAAACCTTGTGCCTCAGGCTCTAGAGGGCCCGGGATGTCTCAGCAGCTGGAGCTCTGGGTGGCATCATCCTGTGCTGGACCGACTGGTGCCCCGGATGGACAGCTTCCCTGATGTACCACTCCTGGTGAAGCACGGGGCATTCTCCAGGCACGCGCTGCAGTGGAGTGCGGATCCCCGATGGGGGGCTCCTCTTCAGCCGTGCGAACCTCTTTTCTCTGCTCCCTGCAGTGAACGCTGCCCCTGCTCAGACAACTCCCCGGGGCTGCCTGGTTCTCAAGGCATCAGCTTCAGAGAGCCCTTCACGCTTGGGTCCAAATAGGGTAGAGGCCAACAACATGTCTACAACCAGCAGAGGGGCCTTATGGACCCCAGCCCTCGACCTGGAGATCCAAGTTCAAAGGCCATTCTTGAACTTGGCTCTGTGAGACTCTGAGACCCTTGAGCAGTGACTGTGGGATGAGCCCAACACTGATGGATGCTAGTTAGCGGGGCTGTCATAGAGAAGAACAGGGACCAGACGGCTTAAATAATAGATATGTACTTTCTCACTGCTCTGGAGGCTGCAAAGTCCAAGACCGAGGTGCCAGCAGGGTTGGGTTTCTCCCAAGGCTGCCTGTCCTGACTTACAGGCAGCTGCCTTCTTGCTGTCCTTAACCACACACCCCTCGTGTCTCTTCCTCTTTTTATAAGGATGTCAGTTTTTATAAGGATATCATTAAGGGCCCCATCCTATGGCCTCACCTAACCTTATTTATGTCTTCAATGGTCCCATGTCCAAACAGAGCCACGCTGGGTGCCAGGGCTTCAACACAGGAATGTGTGTGTCTGCACCCTTCTGTGCCTCACAACTATTGGGGCACCTGGGAGGTGGGTGGTCCAAGTGGATCTGTGATCCAAGTATGAAACACACTCTGGACTTCTGATCCTGTCACATCACGTTTCATCACGCATGACAAACAGAATGCAAAACATCTCATTACTACTTTTTTTTTTTAAAATTGACTGATGGATAGGTTGAATGGTGACATTTTGGATACAGTGGATTAAAGGAATTCTCTCACTAGAATTACTCCCCTTTCTTTTCACTCTTTCTAGTGTGGCTATACACAAACTTAAAACTGCATCCATGGCTCACATGGGCTTTCCACTGCACAGGGCCTCTGAGAGCTGGCACGGTCACCCCTCTGGGACCCTCTCGTAACCATTCCCTGCGTCCCTTAAGTCTGTTCCTGCTCCCCTCCCCTGCCCTCTGCTTCCTTGGGTCCTCCTGGGCTCCACACCCCCACCCGGTTCTGTCAAATTGTGCCACTGAGGCTGGGTGGGGTGGACAGGCTGGGGGCCCTGGGGGAGGGGAGATGATGCAGGCGAGGGGGCGGAGGCCTTGTGGTGCCTCTCTCTGTGGTTTGGCTCAGAGCAGAAGATGTCTAAGAGGCACACGAGTCCCCTCCCACCTGCAGCCAACATCACCCTCTCAGCACACCACTCGAGTGTTTTGTGCTAAAAGCATCTTTAGTTTTCTCTCTCTCTCTCTCCTCCCCCCCCCCCCCTTTATGATCCCACCTTGGACTACGCCAGGTCCCAGAAAGGAGCGAAGCGGACGAGGGAAGCTAAGCCCATCCCACTGTCCAGAGACAAGTCAAATGTGACCTGGACCTGAGCTGGCTCACATCATGGAGGGAGCGGGGGGACGGGGAGTGAGATGGGGCCTGCGTTCAGGGTCAAGTGCGGGGCACTCTGCATGTGGCATTTCTGCCCCCCTACCCCATTCTTCTGACGGCCTCAGGTTATTCTCATTTTCAGATGGGGACACAGACACCCGGCAGGGAGGGGGGGATGAATGACCTCTCCAGTGTCACCAGTTGGCAGGTGGCTGTGTCAAGTATTTCACAGTGAGTCTGTCTCTCTGCCATGGCCACAGTGTGGACCAGGGGTGAAAAGGGATTTTCCAGAGCAGTCTGGAATGTTCTTGAGTTGGAATTCAGGTCCAGGCATGTCGCTCCCCCTCCTCGTGGAGGAACGACACTGAACCCTGCCTAGGCTTCATATCCGAGTCACGGCACCATTATGTCGCTCTCCCTCTTCGTGGAGGAACGACACAGGACCCTGCGCTGTTCTTTCGTCTGCTCGGCCCTCCCCGGGTTTGCTGCTGGTTCTTCCCGGGTTGGCTACTATCCCTTCCACCTCCGTGGAAGGGCAGTTCCCCCTGGCCGCATTCCCCACTTCCGCAGGGGAGCGGCACACCGCCGGCCGGTTCTCTCGGGGGCTGCACGGGTTTTCCTTCAGCTAGATGTTCCCCATAGATGTTCCTGGTGCATGCCGTCTCTCTCCTCCTTTATAGTCCTCCTCCGCCAATCCCAACTCGGCTGCCCACACGCCGAGTACGCTGCTCTCCTCCAATCAGGAGCAAGTCCTACAGTTTATTAGTTGAACTGGAGGCAGCTGTGCGGAAGCTGTTTACTTCTCTCCCAGCGCCATATTGTGGGAGAGCAGATGCATAGAATAAGTCCTAATTCGAGTAACTTAGTCTAGTCCGGATTGCTCCCCACACAGGCAGGAGAGCAGAGGGAATTCCAGGGCAGGAGACAGGGTGGAGCAAGGATGTGGAGGACGGCCCAAGGACACCTGAAGCATCAGCCTACAAAGGGGTCCTGGCCTCTGCTCCTCAGGGGGCTGCCCTCCCACGGACTCCAGATTAAAGTTCAGGGTCAGGGAGCAGCAGGCCTTGGTGAGGACTTGCTGTCACCACCCTGCAGCCCGCTTGCCCCTGTCCTGGGGTCTGTGGGCCACTCCCCGACGGGCTCACTCACCGGCTTCGCAGGAGGTCTTTCTTGAGGTTCTTTATTTCCTTGTCTATGTACCTGATGTTCCTCATGGGCTTGTCTGGAACCTGGCGGGCAGAGGAGAGTGAGAGGAAAAGGGATGATCACATAACTGTCCCAACAGAGCCAGCCCACAGGAGGTCACACCCTGAGTGCACGTGAGGGATCCTGGGAGGCTTGGAGTCCACCTCTGCCCCAGAAGGGGCCCTGTGGGGCACAGCAGACACAGTGAGGGCTCTGGAAACAGGTGCCCCTGTCCTGGTTCTGTCCTGGTTCTGCAGTGACCACTGGTGTTGACCGTGGACCACTCGCACAACCTGGGTGGCTTTAGTAGAGTGAGGGGAAGGCAATTCCTATCCTGCCTGGAGGATTAAGTTAATTGCCGAACTCCTGACTCACAAGTGAGTATTTGATAATGAATGGAAGTGACTATTATTAGCATTGCACTCAAAGGAAAGCAAAGAATTAAACATTAAAAATAATTATTGTTGGTGGTGGCCTTGGCAGTTGAAGAGCTGAATCAAGATGCAAATGTACTTTCTGCGTTTTCTTCTGCCCACATCGATTTTTATGAGTGAGTTATTCATGTAATTGTTCAAGGGTTTTTCTTTCCTTTTCCTCTATTCATCTGCCCTGCCTGGACAGAGAGGAACCACGTGATACTTAACTTCATTACTCAGAGGTTGATACCAGGTCAACATAAAAAAGATAGCTAAAGGGGACAGCGCTATGGCGAAGTGGGAAAAGCCACTGTCTGCAGTGTCGGCATCCCATATGGGTGCCAGTTCAAGTCCCGGCTGCTCCACTTCCAATCTAGCTCTCTGCTGTGGCCCTGGGAAAGCAGTAGAAGATGGCCCAAGTCCTTGGGCCCCTGCACCTGTGTGGGAGACCAGAAGAAGCTCCTAGCTCCTGGCTTCGGATCAGCACAGCTTTGGCCATTGCAGCCAATTGGGGAATGAACCAGCAGATGGAAGACCTCTCTCTCTCCTCTCTCTCTGCCTCTCCTTCTCTCTCTGTGTAACTCTTTCAAGTAAATACACAAATCTTTAAAAAAAAGATAGCTAAATAAATAAGCCATATTTTATTATAAAAGCCACTTTTCTCAGACCCCATTTTGTAGGCACAACAACCAGAATATTTATTGAATTATCCTGTCTCGAAATTAACTGCTGCACATTACTGAGTTTTTTTAATAAAAAGAAATACTAAGAAATTACGGGGAAACCGTCACTGTCAGATAACGCCGGAGGAAGAACGCACCACGCTAGCTTTGTGGAAGAGCCGTCCATCACAGCCTACCAAGTGATTTAAAAGCGGTCAAGTTCTTCATCTAATATGTGCTGCCACGCACCCTCAGGAGATGTCCCCGAGTGGACACTGAGACTCATCCACAGAACTGGTCACCACAATTCTGCTTGTGGTACACACTCTTGGGAACCACCTATCCATCTCCCAGTAAACAACTGTGGTGCACCTCAGCCACAGGATACTATGTAGCATTTAAGTGTAACAGCAACATCCTGATATACTTGTATTTATTGACAGGCAAAGAAATTGCAGTGAGGAGACATGCAACAAAGTCATATTTCTAGCATGACTATTTTCATTTCTTGAAAAATGATCTGGGGCCTGCGCTGTGGCATAAAGGGTAAAGCCACCGCCTGCAGTACCGACATCCCATATGGACATCAGTTCCAGTCCCGGCTGCTCCACTTCTGATCCAGCTTTCTGCTGTGGCCTGGGAAAGCAGTAGAAGATGGCCCAAGTCCTTGGGCCCCTGCACCCGCATGGGAGACCTGGAGGAATCTCCCGGATCCTGGCTTCGGATCAGCCCAGCTCCAGCCATTGTGGTCTCTCTCTCTCTCTCTCTCTCTCACTCTCTGCCTCTGCCTCTCCATAACTCTTTCAAATAAATAAATAAGTAAATCTTTAAAAAAGAAAAATGATCTTTGTGGATGTACACATATCAGAGATATGGAAGAACATGGCCCCAAAATGCAGTGATTCTTTCAAGCAATGGGATTGTGGCAGGTTTTATTTACCTATTTACTTACTTTTTAATTAATTTTTCTTTGAGATGTAGAGACAGAGACAGACAGACAGAGCTCTCCCATGTGCTAATTCACCTCTCACATGCCTGCAGCAGCCAGGACTGGAGCAGGCTGAAGCCAGGAGCCAGCAACTCCATTTGGCTCTCCCACCCAGATGTCAGGACCCCAAGTGCTTGGGCATGCGTTAGCAGGAAGCTGGAATTGGCAATGGAATGGACTTGAACCCAGGCACCCTGACGTGAGTTGTGGGCATCCTTCGTGGTGTGTTAACTGCTGTGCCAAATGCCCACCCCTAAGGTTTCGTTTCTTTTTCTTAACTGGAGGTGTGCTTCTAATGACTTTGCAACAAATCATAGTTGCACAATAAACAGAGAAAAGACTAGAAAATAAACAGTCAAGTGTTATTTGCCAAAGGCTGACTGGTAGACAGTTCTGGGAGAGCTTTGCCGAGGCAGGGAGGGAGTGGTGTGGATAGGAGGTGTGGATGGGAGGTGTGGCTAGAGGTGTGGATGGGAGGTGTGGATGGGAGGTGTGGCTGGAGGTGTGGATGGGAGGTGTGGATGGGAGGTGTGGACGGGAGGTGTGGCTAGAGGTGTGGACAGGAGGTGTGGCTGGAGGTGGGGAGCGGAGGAGGAAGTGCAGGGAAAGGAAGGCCTGGCCTGCCTGCCTCTGTACCATCGTCCTCCTGGGTCACCCCGTGCGTGCTCCCTTGTAGGACAGCTCAGAGTAACAGGGAAGAGCCTCTGGCAAGTCCCCAGATGATGTGTCACTGCTTCTCTGCTCACTCAAGCCAGGCTGTGGGACACAAAGAAGAGTGTGGGGTGGCCGTGAAGAAGCGCAACGTGATGCGGAGCAATGAATGACTGGCGATCGACTTGCTGTGCAGCTCTTCCTGGTGACGAGTGGCTGGTGCCTCTTGCTCATCTCAGTGTGGCAGGGTGCTTCAGTCTCAGCTGAGAGCTGATGGCAAAGTCCTCGGGCTTCATCTGAGGCACAGGTGGGGCCGCTGGAGGGACTGACCTCTCAGGGGGGCGTGTCAGGGTCTCAGGAGTCGCATGGTGGACAGTCTCGTCTCTTACACAGCCAGCAGCCCTGCCCCCTCGCTCTCCTGACACCAGCTCCCTGGTTAGGCCCTGTGTCTGTCCCTTAGTCAGCCCTCACACCTGGGGAGGGGCGCATGGTGCCAGCAGCACTGGGGTGACCCTGAAGGACTGACACCAAAGCCGCCCATCCCCCACCACAGTGCCGGGTTTAGGGGTGGTCGTGTGATCCAGTTTGGGCCAAAGAGATGACTGCAGATGAGTTCTAGGGGGCTCCCGGGAAGCACAGGCAGAGGTCTTTGCTTTTGCCACTGACTGTGAACAGGAAGCAGGCATCCCTTGGGAGCTGCAGGGACTCATGGTGTGCCCACAAGGGGAGCTGGCCTTGGGGTAAAGATGTGTGGGGGAGGAAGAGAGGAGGAGTTAGCCCCATGGCACCTTATGTACCTAATCGAGCCTCGCTGGAACTTGGCATTTTCGTGAAAATTTCCTTTATTACTTAAACCACCTTGAATTGGACTTCCTGTTACCTGGACGTGCAAGACTTCTGTCTGAAACATGTTCCTCCTTCAGGAGCATCCAGGAAAACACAAGATCAAGAGTTACTTTAGCTAGTTCCTCTCTCCCTCCCTCCACATCTCTTGAGAGGTCAAGACCAGAGGACCTCCATCCTGGCGCATTTTGCAGTGGAAACAATGAGACTGACCAAATACTGGAAATTAAGACTGGGTATCTCTCCTTTTCTCTATAGTTTTTATTTATTTATTTTTTAAATTTATTTAAAAGGTCACACAGGGCCGGCGCCACGGCTCACTAGGATAATCCTCCGCCTGTGGTGCTGGCACACTGGGTTCTAGTCCCGGTTGGGGCGCCGGATTCTGTCCCGGTTGCTCCTCTTCCAGGCCAGCTCTCTGCTGTGGCCAGGGAGTGCAGTGGAGGATGGCCCAAGTGCTTGGGCCCTGCACCTACATGGGAGATCAGGAGGAAGCACCTGGCTCCTGGCTTCGAATTGGCACAGCGCGCTGGTGGTAGCGGCCACTTAGGGGGGTGAACCAAAGGAAAAAGGAAGACCTTTCTCTCTGTCTCTCTCTCTCTCTCACTAACTCTGCCTGTCAAAAAAGAAATTAAAAAAAAGGTCACACACACACACACAAATAGACAGAGATTGTCCATCTAAAGGTTCACTCCCCAAATGCCCACAATGGCCAGGGCTGGGCAAGACAGAAGCCAAGAGCTTGGAACTTCATCCAGGTTACCCACATGGGCGACAGCGACCCAGGTCCTAGAGTCATCCTTTGCTGCCTCTCCGGGTGTGCATGAGCAGGAAGCTGGATCAGAAGTGAAGCTGGGACTCGAACCCAGGCCCTCCCATATGGACTACAGCTGTGTTAACTGCTGAGCCAAATGCCCTCCCCAAGTCTTTTTTTTCTAACCCCTCTTTTTTGAGTTCCTTACCCTAACTCTCTTGCAAGATCAAAGTAACTTTCTTGAACAATATTGTGAATTAAATGTATTTATGAACAAAGGAAAAATAAGCACACTCACATTTCCCCACGGAGCTAATTTGAAAACACATAACTGCAATCTCTCTTGATTTGACAGTGGTGGTATCCATCCACCCTCTCAACTACCTTAAGTTTCACCTTTCTCAGGAGATAATTATGATAATGTCCAGCTCTGAAGCACTGTTTTTCCAGTGTCACCTAAGGACAGCTGTCTACACCAGATTCACATTCTGCCCAAGAATGAGGTGGTGTCCACTGGGTTCAAGCTGAACACCTTGCAGCACCCATGCCAAGCTGTGTTCTCAACCTGACTCAAGATGTCCGCAGGACAGGACGCAGCCCACAAGCCCCACAGCCACGCCGGCCTCTCAGTGGCCCCCAGGAAACCACTTTTGTTGTGACCATTGTTTAATTACGATCCTAAAGAGCGAGCATTAATAACCAGCATTGGGTGGGAGAGTTCTGGTTGTCA